AAAAGTCTTACAAGGACAAAATATGTCAGAAACTTCTTATCAAAATTCCATAAGAATAAGCATTTTGTAACACGTCTATAAGAAACAGATAAGAACTTCTTACCACTTTCTTATGAAATTCTTATGACTTTCTTATCAGATTCTTATAAGACTCTTATCAAACTTCATTCACTTTCCTTCGTGGAACTCCATTCACTTTCCACGCTGGAAAGCGTGGATTGGTTTTTCTTCTAATAATGTCATGGGACTTGATGATAAGATATACTCAAGGTTCATGTATAGTACTTAGCGAATTATACTGAGCTTTTACAAAAAAAACAACAACTACTGACCCTAAAGAGAAGGCAAGGCTTTTTAATAACTATTTTGCTTCTACCTGTATTATGTCTCCAACCCAACCGACCCCACCTTCCACCTTTCCGCTTTACAACTGCAGTTAAAATGTCATCTGTAATCGTTTCACCTGTAGATGTAATGAAAGTCATGAATAAAACTAACTCGACTAACTTACTTTTGAGTTTTCAATAGTAGTTGAAAAATGAGATCAATTGACAGTTGAATTTTATTTTCAGTGATGAATAATAATAGCATATCATGATAATATAATTGAAATAATTCAAACTTGTCATCTATTATTCCATTAATGTATCGTTGATAGTTAGTTTTTTCTTTTAATTGATTTGATATGAAATTGTCAAGGTCAATGTTATCTACTATTTGTTTTCCTTGTCGTTTTTAAACTAGGAATGCACGGGTTTTTATCTCGTGTTTTTCAAAAATTCATAATAGATGGTTTGTATTTTCATAAAAGCGAGTTGCAAGATTTTTTAAACGGCAGTTTTGTAGAGAAAACATTTCTCTGCAAGATAGTATACAGAAGATATTTTAGAAGTTTTTTGTTTCCTTTTAGAAAGCATTTTCCTCAAACCTACGGTTGGTTATAACCGGGGTTATTAACCGATACGCCTCTCTGTGAAAAACGCTTTTTAAAGAACCAAAAAACTTAAAAATTAACTACTATACACCATCTTGAAAAGAAATGTTTTCTCTACAAAACTGCCGTTTAAAAAATGTTGCAACTCGTTTTTACGAAAGTATAGACCATTTATTGTGAATTTTTGAAAAATACGAAGAAAAAATCGATGCACTCCTGTTTTAAACCATTTGATGAATATTTGATAAAATTTTATATTCATTAGTAGAACAGGGTAAATATAAATTGAATACAAATGAAACTTCAATCATATTCTACATACCTTTTGAGCCATTTTGAGCTCGACGAGTACTACAATTGAGAAAAAAGTGAAAATTTTCGACTGAAGACTTTTATACTAGGGGTACGAAACTTGGCTGTTTTCCAAAAGAATCTTCAAAGATAGTCTGTGTGTTCGAAGCAGAAGATAGGTATCGATCTAATTCCTTTTCCATTAGATTCATCAGTTCTTCAGCTAGCTTCCTTTACATTTAAAAAAGAACATTTTGTTTTGCTCTGCGTTTAGTGGAGGTGAAATACTGAGTGTAACTTTCTCATCTTCAGTCAGTTGATGACATTTAATCTAGCCCTATGGAAGTAGTAAGGCGAGTTTATAATATCACTTATACTACTCGAGCTGCTCTTTTGTATGGTGTATTAAGGATCCACCGCCTCCCTCTTTTTTGACCCTCTTGGAAATCGGGGAAGCCGATGTCGGATCGAGGCGAAATTTATATCGGAGATAGGACATCGAAAAAGAAAATCGATATATTTTTGCCCAGAATTTTCTGACGTGCTCATCTATGGGTTTTCTAGAAAACTCCAGTTTTCATCGGGTCACATTACGACCCCTCGAAAAAATGATCCGATCGAGCTCAACTTTTACCACCGATACTTTGGATCCTATCTCAGGGTGTAAATTTTTCTTTTCGAAAAATATTCTTTCCTTCTCGAAATATTCGAAAAATACTAAAAACCCTATATAAAAAACCCTCTCACGCTGAAAGTTGCACATCGAAAACGCTTAAGAAAAATTTGAATCCTGAGATAGGGCATAAAGTATCTGTGGTAAAAGTTTGAGCCAATGTTTTCTGTTTTCACTGGTCCATAATCACAGATACTTCCAGTACAATCGTATGCATGATTTCGTAGAGGAATTCTTCCTCTTTCTGATGACACCTGAATCGACCATAACGATTTGACAATTTTGGAGAAAATTTAAAAACGCGGATACCATCGAAAAATGACCACTTTTACCACCCTTTTGAGATTATCCAGGTCGAAAAAAACTGGCATTTAATTGTCGATTAATAGCCTGTTAACTGTATATCCGAAAATGGCCTGTTAATTATGTAAAAATCGAATGAAAATTGGCATTTAACAACCATTATAATGACTCTTTTTTGATTTTGAAACAAAGGTAAAAATAATGCCAGATTGTAGTCAATGTCCAACAATATAGCATTTTATGGACACCATTAAATGGCATTTTCGTCCATCTATTAGATCACGTTAACTAATGCCAATAAATGTGCCTGTTACAAGTCCGTTTTGAGACAGTTTTTTCTCGATTTCAAAATGGCAAAAAACTGATCATAAATTGGCATTTAACAGCCAGTTTATGATCACCAAGTCATTCTCCGTTTTATTGTGACGTCATGACTATAGTATAAATGACTCTGATTTTCCTAAAATAATTTGAAGTTTTTCTCTTCTTCAATTATATGAGTCATAGAAAGTTGTCTCGAAGAAGCTGTCTGTGGTTCTTGAGTTAGTGCAGGTGACACTACCTTAGGTTTCAGAAGATATTTTTTTCACATTTTCTAACGGTCTAAAAATTGATCTTTAAATAGCAAAAAAATGTGACCAGTAGTTATGTCGGTTTTCTGACGGAACCTCTCTTAACTTTGTGGTTTCAGGAACGTTCTCTATGCAGTTCTCTATGATTTGTAGACTCCGTTTTAAGCTCATTCGTAGAGAATTTTTGGCTCTACAGGATTGTCGAATAGTAATTTTCTCCGGAGTAATATTTAAAATATCAATATGGACTCAATGTTCCTGCTGCGACATTCCGAAAAGTACAAAGGCTCTCGTAAAAGACAAACAATTGTCCCATTAAAATTCCAAATGCACCATAAACTTCTGCGCTAAATTCTGCTTCTTCTGGTGTATGCAGTATAATTTTAGAGCATAGAGTAGGAATCTCACGTAAAACAGAGCCGTAACCGCAAAAAATTGAGTTTTCTGTTCCGGTCTCTGGTCTTGTGCATTTTTTAACGAATATTCCTCGAAAACTTTTCAAGTTACAACTCACTAATCATACAGATCTGTTTAGAATTAAATTCTCTCGTCGGAAATGACAAAATAAAAAAATTTGAAACCAAGTTTCTATTCAAAAGCTTGAAATGTCTTAATTACTGGAAAAAACACCGCAACAAAATAACCCTGCCCATTTTTTAAACTGGAATAGTTTCCGAGACGACTAACATATTGCCTTACTTTGCGCCCTTACCTGTGGAATATTATCACATGATCGAATAATACTAGTAATTCTAGAACTATCAGTAACAAAAATTCTTAAAACACTAACTTCGCAAGTTCCCATTATAGGTCCCAATAGATTTTTCGTAATCAGTTATTTTAAGACACACTTTCTACACTTTTATGTGGATCTTATTAACTTTACGGCGAGACATGTTTTTAAGGTAAGTTTTGGACTCATAGATTATTATAATCTATATATACAATAGTATATTGTGTAGTGTCTCCCTCTGGTGAATTCACTTTCTGCGACAAAGTTTTGAATAATTTTTATTTGAATATGTGACAATAACATGTGATTTTACGCTAGATTTCCTTCATACAACTGTATCTCTCGTATTAGTTTCCTCGTTTGATTGGTTTATCCATATAACACCTGTTGGCCATTTTTCTATCTTTTGCGAAGAAACCCACAAAAACACAAAAACAATTGATTCTCTAGATCCGGCCCCTAAAGCCAGAATGGTGTATGGTTAGCTTAAAGAAAAAACCAGCTTTTTACAGCAAGGCTCGCTTGATGTTCTTAAAAAGCCTAGCTCCCTGTAAACTATTACTATAGCGTGATTATCTATAAAATCCTTTGTATTACAATCGCTTCGACCAGCATTTTTAAAGAGATTTTATATCGCAGTAGGATCTCACAGTTTGCTGTGAATACAAAACTTGGATTGCCCATTTTGCGTTGATATACAAAATTGGAATATGAAAAACTTTCTCAAAAGCGGTTAGGAAGGACTCTTGTTTACCGTTGCCGAGCAGTAGTTTGATCGCTCTCATTTGTAAGAAATAGATCAGCGCTGTTTCTTCCTTTTTACGATAAGTATACAAACAATTTGTTTCACGAGATTTTCGAATGATCTATCGCCAAATGACCGTCGCCACATAAATTCTGTAAGATATGTACCCAAAAGACTTACAGACATCCCCATCATACTTTTCTTCTTTTGTTTCGTACGCATCCACATATTTTCAATATTTTGTGTGTGCACTGCCGTATCTGGATCGACGAAATGCAATAAATACTTAACAGTTTGATGTTTATAACTGTTAACGTTTGTATTTAACGAACTGAAACGAATCCGCGAACTCTATTCGGTTTAAAAGCTATTTTGTACATATTATTTTGATTCTATTTTTCTTATTTGTATACTTTTACGTTTACAAATATTTTTGTCTATTTTATATAATATTACTATATATACTGACCTTCAATCAACAGTGTCCTCGCCTAATAGGCTACAATCAATAATTACTGTCATCTGTTCGTCAAGTCTCTTATTCACTAAAGGTGTGCTCAATCTGTAGAAATACCCACTTCGAAATAGCAGCGTACGAAAAGCAAGAAAGTTTAATACAAAGTTTGCAAATTTTAGTTTGTACTAACAAAATAGTCTTTTTACACAATTATTATTTGCTTTAGATTTAGTATAACAATCTTTTGTTCAAATCGTTCTAGATAGTCTTAATCTAATAATTTCTAAAAAAAATGCCTGTAATTGTATTTTTAATCGACAATTCAGCTTCCATGAATCAAATGACTTATATAGGAACAACATTATTTGATCTTGCTAAGGGAGCTATTGAACAATTTTTAAAAGTAAGTTTTCTTTTTAATCGATCACGTTGTATTCGTACGTATGTTACTCTTTAGATTCGTCAACGTGATGTAAATGCCGTTAAAACCGATCGTTATATGTTATTGACATTAGATGATCCACCAACAAATGTTAAAGTAAGCGAAGAACGCCACAAATTTGTATAGGAATAGGAATAGGAATATAGGAAATCATTTGTTTTGGAGAAAGAAAAATTCTTTGTAAATAAAACCCAAGGGATACACATAACATTGAATTTATTGTGTTCTACTGTTATAGAGCATTGTACAACCAGGTTACACTTCTTTTTTTTTGACGGACATTTGTGCTGATTTTTAGCTCTTTTTCTTATGTCTTTTATTATTCTAGGTTGGTTGGAAAGAGCCGATGACTGTATTTGTAAATTCGTTAAAGAATTTAGAAGCAACAGGTTTTACAAATATGGGACCGGCTATCAAACAATGTTTTGATTTGCTTAATTTAAATAAACATGCAGCTGAGCATGATACCTACGGAATGGTAAGTTTAGCAATAATGAGTGAAGAGTGTATATGGAAAGGTCTATTTTCTTCTCAGAATGAATTTTGCAGTTTGAACAGTGTATACTGTTATTTCATTAAATTCACCATTTTCAACTTTTTTTATCTATTTGTTTTTTTTTTTGTAAAAAAAATAAACTGTCGTACAGTCCATTCTTTCAAACACAACATTTTCTGTGAAGAGTATAGTTATTGATCACAGCGTTTCGATACGAGTTTTGGGAGGGATGGAAAGTCTACTGAGTGTTTTTTGATTTACGCCTTTTTTAACTAAAAGTTTTTTTCGAGTAACTGCATGTTTGAAGCTAGTTAAAGACTGATATTCTCTTATCATGTTTGTTTCAAAACAATATGAAGAAAATGAGATACAACATAATTTTTTTCTAAAAAATTTCTAAGTCAAAATTTTTTTGAGTAACTGCATCCAAACGAGGAGATCTATCTCCACCCGCTTCCACTGCCTAATCGAAAACACTGATTGATCGTATGTACACCGTTGCTAATGTATGGTTTTAGTATTTTCTATATGAATTTATTATCTTTCTTGTGTAATAGGGTCGTTTTCCTCATTTATTGGAACCATCACTGATTATCGTTATAACAGATAAACAAAAATTGACGTCTCCTGTTGGAGTACAAAATGAAGTAAGTTTTTGTATCATTTAATCAGAAAACTTATAGAATTTATAATAGATTCACTTTATCTCAACGATTGATTAATTTATTGTAACAACTCTTAAATTTTCCTTTAATACTTTACCATGCTGTGATTAATTTGGATTGTTTGTTTTCTGTTAGATCAATATTCCAATGAATACTGGACCAGTGGGTTCCGAATTAACCAAAGAACCATTTCGATGGGATCAACGATTATTTGCAGTTGTTCTGGGTTTGGGATCACAACCTATCACAGATCAGTTAGGAAATCAATTTATACCACAAGCAATAGAATGTCCAATAAATGCTATGTGTGATGTTACAGGAGGTCAGCAAAAATAATTTGCACTATAAATGATCTATTAAATGTCTATTTTTAGGTCGATCTTATCTTATATCATCTCAAAAGACATTAACACAGTGTTTAGAATCGTTAGTACAAAAAATACAAACAGGAGTAGTAGTCAGTTTTGAAAAAGTGAATGATGATGGAACAAGGGGTATGTTCAAGTGGAAATGCCACTATGTAAGATACAGATGGTTTAACCCGCTTTTTTGAAAAACGATGTTCTTGTGTACTTCCCGTTCTCACCAGTTTGGATCATGCTTTTCAGTGTCTGGTTTCCCTTACAGTTTATATAGGTGAAAAGAAATATTTGATACACTACTGTGTCGATTTTTCCCCCTTGAATGTTAGTTCAAAAGAAGCTCTTGTATTCAGTATGAAAAAATAGTTTGACTATTTTATGGATTTTGTGTTTAGATGATGAACGTTCGATCTGGCATACGAGTCGTAAAATGATTATGATACCGAAATCGATACCAAAAACCGAATTTAATTGGCCGATACCTGAAGATTATTGGCCATCAATGACTGCTCTCTCATTGCCCTCGCGTACAGCTCATCCAACATTGAAATTTCAATGTCAGGCATGTGAAGCAGCTGTTATGGATAAATTTCCATTCGATAAATATGAATTGGAACCATCACCGTTGACACAACATATTCTCGAGAGACGACAACCATCAACAGCATGGCAGGTTAGTTAAAAAAGACTCATTGATAATTAACGCGTAAATGGAAAATATCAAAAAAGGCTAATAAATTTGCAAAATAGTTTAGACTAATTATTTCAATGAGTTTACAAAATTGGTTAACGTGATTATTCATTCTGTGTAATGGACTTTATGTTTTAAGCTACTTTAAGAACATAAATTATTGGCTCGAATTATGTCAATATTCTTCTGTTATTGATTTAAGGTATTTGTTCAAGGTAGTTCACGACTGGGTCCACAAGATTTAGGTTCACCATTTGGATATTTGAAAGCAAGTTCAAATTTACAATCAGTTAATCTTTATGTTATGCCATATAATTATCATGAATTATTTGCGCTACTCGGTATGTAAAGGAGTATTGCAGCTGTATAGTGTAATTAGAGAGGAAGATTTTTGCATCTCTGTAATTGCTGCTTTTTGTACTCGATATCGTCTGTTGTTCCTTGTCGAACTACCAGTATGCCCTCATGATGTTTTTTTTTAGATGATTTAACAAAAGATCATCGTTTAAAAACCACAAAACAATGGCAATCACGTTTTGATCAGTATTTACGAAATATACCACCATACTATTTAACAGTAAAGATTAATCTCTAAGATATTTGCCATGAGTGTACTTATTCTAAACATTTTTTAGCCATTAAAACGTGCCTTGGCTCGAAAACAATTACAATTTATATTTGAACAATTTGAAAAAATGCCACCAAGTATTTTATCACCAAATATTTTACAATATTTGAAAAAAGTTAAAATTCAAGTAAGAATATATAATTTACAGCTTCTTCTATCTATCTACTTTATTTGACTTTCAGGCTAAAACTGATTTAGAAAGATGGCCAACTATTCCAGATAGACATGCCGTTTATATACATTTATTACCAACGTATGTAGGTTAAATTTTTTGTTTTGACTAATATTTCATCCAGTCTAATTAAAAAGTTCCAAAATTTCGGATAAGCAGTTGTAAACGTATATTAGTTTTTTTTGTTTAAGCTGATTAGAAATGATAGCAAATTAGAGCAAAAATAAGATTTCGGATATATTTCTTTTGCTGAAGTTGTTGTTTCATTAACGAAAACATCATTGCTTATTTAACGCTGAGCTACAATAACTGTATACAAATTTTTCATTTGACACTTGTTATGATTATAAAAAATTGTTTCTTTTTTTTGTATATGTACGTTTTAGTCGTCAAGATTGTGTTTGGGATAGATCATCGTCATTTGATCAAGATTTACTTTATTCCGATAATGAATTTCAAAATTTTGTTCTTTATCCAAAAGCAGACAAACAAATTAATCCACCACAAGTATATTTGTAAGTCATTTATACTCTTACTTTACTTCATAAATAAACAAGTTGTTAGGTTTTATTCTAGAAATGTTTTTGATATACCTCGTTCGCAATTGATTTCTACCATAGAAAAAATGCGTTCAAATCTACTCGGATCGTTGAAATTGCAAGATGAAGATGCTTTGCATAGTATACCCATCAAAGAAATGGGTAATTATGATGAATATCCACGAAATCAACAACAACCATTGAGGGAAATAGAATCACAACCAGTAAGACAACATGTATTCGGAAATCCCTTCAAAGTGAATAAGGTTAGTAGGTATATAATTGTGGATTTTTTTCTGTTAATAATTCATTTAATATGTAGCCAATTGATGAAATTGATGAATGTGCTGGATCATCGTCTCAAATGAGGAAAAGACCATTGGAGCAACAAACAATAAATTCGAAAAATAAAAAACGAACAAGTATGTGAAAAATACATCTGTTTTTATTCTCACAAGTCACACAAACTTTCTGCACAAAATTAGTATGTCAAATTTTACAAAATAATATTTCGATAATTCTTTTTCTTTCTTCTTAGCATTGATACTGAAAAATTATGTTTATCGTCGAAATTTTCCACTATTATCACCTCCGTCGAGTCCCGCCTCAAGTGTTGGTGATGGTATGTTCTATTTTACTCTTATTATCTGATGACTAATATCAATTATTTGGGTTTTCGTTTAGAATCTGATATTGGTGAACCATCGAGTCCACGTTCACCATTAAATGATATTATTTATTTGGATACACCGTCATCATCCCTTTCACTTTCAGCTTCAGCCTTAACCACAAATTCAGAATTAGCAATGCCTGTAGCAAGATTTACATTTGATTTAAGAGGAATAATCAATGATGAACATCGGCGAATGTTGAAAAAATATCGAGATACGAAAAAACTGTGTAAAAATATTCTCAAACAACCATATCAAGGTAACAAGTGCTTTCCTCTTTTTTTTGAAACTTTTACTAAAAACAGAATAAAGAATCATGTTAAATAATTAGTATTAGATCTATCGTTTGTAAATAAACGCATTCATAAAAAATTTGTCGTCTTCATCAGTTGTTTCACTAAACTTCTGATTCTAAGATAATTTATTACTCATTGTTTGAAATATTGTTTCATTTTTTCTTATTTAGATAGTTTAGTAATATTTTCTACGTTAGATGAATTACAATTGGAAGCTGATTTAAAATTAACGTTAGTTGATGATTTAATTCGTGAATGTCAACGTTTAAAACCAGAACTCGAATCACGTTTACAAAAATATCGAATGCATATTGCAAGTGAATCATCACCCACTCAACAAGATTCAACAACAAATGATGAATTAAATCCACAACAACGAATATCCGATGCTGATTATTCAGTTATTCAATTATAATATGTTTCTCTATTGTTCTTTTTATATTTGTTGTATATACGATATTTTGTGTTTTACTTATTGTTATTTATATTTTGTTATAAAAAAAACACAATTGTTGATACAAATAGAGTACTACGTTGTTTAATTATGATTTATTGAAGTTTAATTTAGATATGATAGTCACTGCACTACATAGTGTTAGACAAAAAGATGTTTATTTCTTCCGTTATTGTTGTTCAGCAATACTCGACGAGAATATATTAATACATTAAAATCATTTGCTAATTTTTTATAGAATAACTCATCATGATATATTGTTTTCACACAAATACATCTGTCTGAAAATTTGTTTATCGTAATTTCTTACTTTTTTGTTTAACCTTGCATCTATGTCTTTTTTGTGTATATTTTAGATTTAATAAAGGACATGGGCAATACAAATCGTCCTCTTGGAGAAGAAAATCGTGCCGGCTATCCATTTGGTCAAAAATGGCAGTGGATAACCGCTTATGAACGCAAAAATGTTACATTTGCTGAAGAACAACCGCCGCCAAAATATGATGTATTAGGCGGTGGCAAAGGAGATGAATATCGAAATATTGAACCAGGTCCCACACGAGGGCCACTACCTGAACCATCAAAAGCAGAAATAAATAAGAACACTATTGCCCTTTTTTCTCCGAAAGCACAAAAAATTATTTTGTATGAAATGGGAATTACAGAAAGTGATTTGGATCGAGATTATGATAATGATCCACGTTATCGCGTATGGGGTCTACCATATTTTATCAAACCATATGATCATCGAGTTCATTTTTTTCTGTTAATAATTCATTTAATATGTAGCCAATTGATGAAATTGATGAATGTGCTGGATCATCGTCTCAAATGAGGAAAAGACCATTGGAGCAACAAACAATAAATTCGAAAAATAAAAAACGAACAAGTATGTGAAAAATACATCTGTTTTTATTCTCACAAGTCACACAAACTTTCTGCACAAAATTAGTATGTCAAATTTTACANTTTTTTCTCCGAAAGCACAAAAAATTATTTTGTATGAAATGGGAATTACAGAAAGTGATTTGGATCGAGATTATGATAATGATCCACGTTATCGCGTATGGGGTCTACCATATTTTATCAAACCATATGATCATCGAGTTCTTATACCATTGTCTTTAACTCTAATGGTGGGGACAAGGTAAGCATGAAGATTTTCGTTATTTAAGCATGAAGCTCTGTAATAATAATAATAGTAAGACCATATCTCGCTGAATATCGATGTTTTCTATTCCTTTCTTTTGAAACAGGTACACTTTTGTCTTATCTATATTTTGTTTTTGTGTTTAATTTTGTTAGAAATCAATGGCTTCGTCGTCCATGGTGGTCTGCACGTCCGTTACACATAACAGCCATCGTTGGTGGTGTTATTATCGGTCATTATTGGAAAAAATATCGTGCTAAACAATTGTTACAGCGTGAATTAATCATTTGGGATTATATTCGACGACATCCAGAAGATTTTCCAGAAGTATTTCATCGAAAGAAGAAATATAAAGAAATTTTTCAACCGTGGTCTCCGTTACGTTAAAACTTTGTTTTCCCTAAACAAACTTCCCTCCCTCTCTTTCCTTCATTGTAAAAAGCTTAGTCTGTAGAAAATGACGATTTTTTTTTTTATTATTTTCTTTGAAAACAGCGTGTCTTTGATATTTACTTTTTTTCATATAAAACGTAAATCCCAAATTGTCTATTTTTCGATTGTGACATTCATTATTCAAGTGAATTATTTATCGAAAGATAATAATCACTAAAAATACTTTGTGTTTCTGCAGAGACGTTATTAATACCTCATGCACTTTTATCTTGAGAATGAATCACTTCGAATTTTTTACCAGTATGTAATTGTTAAGAAAAGAAAAAATATATTATATCTGAATGAAAATCGACATATCATTTTTAATATGAAAAAAAAGTTAATTCATTTGGACATGTTCATTAGAGATTTTGAGTTCCTATCCTTTATATAATTCATTCATAACTGTATGTTTAGTAGCAAGTGATTGTATTTCTGTTCAAATGACGGCAATGATGGAAGTAATTCCAATGTATTTGTCTGTTTCATACATTTACATTTTTAATATTTATTAATTTATCTATTGCTTTTTTCTGAAAATTAAAGTTGGATTGATAATGAACTGTTTGTATCATTCTACGAATTACAAAAATTTTTGAATTTTGATGATTCATTAATCGTTGTAATCATGGAACTTTTTATCTTAGTTTTGTTTTCGATGATTATCCTTGATAATGATTACATGTACCATGTAGGATTCTGTTGTTATGAGAGTAATGATTGATGTTAATTATTCATTCTTTGGTGTTCAACTCGCTATTAGTGATAGATTAAATCATCAATAATAAGTAAAGAAATGTTTACAATAGATAAAAAACTTAATTTATTATATAAAAATAAAAAACAGAAAATGTGATGAATTTTGGTTCGTACGCTTGATTCAAAAATATAAGAACAGTTTTCAAAATTTAATTGCTATTGTCATAGGTGTCAAAATATCGATGTAAGATATAAAATAGAGTAAGAGTATAAGATAAATTAAAGATGTATTTTTAAAATTAAAAATATATTATTTAAAGATGTATGTAAGATAGAATCAAATATTTATTTCATTTATTTCATCATTCTCCTAATTGTAATGCGAAAATCTATGACACTTAAAGTGTATGGAAAAAGTTGAGATGTTTAAATGGATGAATGAAAAAGATTTAAATGTTTATACAGAATATTATGTTTTTCACAATTTGTCGTACTAAAAATAATGTTCGTTACATCTCGGAAGGAATATTCTGAAATCTGTTGCTGTTGTCCCATTGTGTTGTTGTTGCTATTAATGTTGTAGCACCTAGAAAGAAAAATGAAAAGTATTCACGTTCGGTGATCATTGTTGAGATAAAATGATTCCATTTATAAAATTTTGTGAAAAAATAACACAAATGAGTCTCGGAAAAATCTGCATCAATTGTGGACGAATTAAATATGCAAAATTGATTTCAAAATAATTTTTCTTATCTATGACTAATATCGAACAGGATGAAGAAAACATTTTACCGTTTTTAAACAAATTTGTATTACATAGAAATAGTGAATAGTTTCAGAACTAACTGTAGGAAAAGGTTAATAAAGTTTTTATTTTTAGTCTTTTGATGATGGTGTTCTTATTTTCTTCAATTTGCCCTTTCTCTTACATTTGCCAAGTAAGTTTTTTTAATAGAGATGGAACGACGAGTCGTTGATTTTCGTCTGTTGTGATTATGAGTATCTGATGAAAAAGACTTTGAATGTACCAGTTAAACATTGTGTTGTTTCCAGTTGATATTTACAATATTCTGAACATTAATATGTTATTGACAATTCATTTTTGAACTGTTTCATTTGCTTTTCACATACGTTGTTGTCTTTTGTAAAAGTTTTAAGTTCACTCTTAGTTTTCAAAAATGTAAACATCTAGCCAAACTTTACGAGACATCGTGATACAAAACTATACAGTTAGATTATAATTGTATAGAAATAGAGGATCAAGTTTTGCTCCACAAAGTACATTTGACGTGTAGATTAGAAATGTCGTTCTTTGACTAAAAGACAATAAAGAAAAACATTTTTCGAGATTATTTCTGCATATTTAATTCATCCACGATCTTTCTGAGGTCGTTTACTTTTCTCTCCATATTGTTGCCTAGTTTGGTGTTTAAAATTGAATATACAACATAAGGATGGTATCGTTTGTTTTCTTTTAGCTGTGTCAACTAAACTCTCTCTCTCTTTCGTATTTAAGAGCTAATATACGAATAGTAATGTGCATTTGAAAAACTTGTAACTTTGTTTGTATGAAAAATTCTAAAATTCCTCTGATTTGTTCACATGTTTTTTACTACAAGTTTTTTCACTATTTTTATTTATGTACGATAACATGACAACATTATTTGAATGATTAATTAATGACATTCAAAATGAAATTGTTCGATTATTGTTCAAACAACTCAATTTATTGAATTGATGGAAGTATTAAATGATAAACGTCCTCGATTATATTTGGATATTTATCCAATATATGTCTAACGTTGACAAAATGTTTTTTCATTATTAAACGACTATTTTTCCTTCTATATGTCATCCTATTTAATTTTTCATCATATTATCGATTACTAAACGATCATATTCAATCTTTTCCAATATTATATAATTTCGGTTAATTTTTGTACGATATCGTGGACTAATTATTGTTCATCGAATTTTACACGATCATTATTTTTAAAATGAAACTATTTAGTGGACTTTTCAAAATTAGCGATCGACATACCATGCGGTACAAAAGTCTTTGCATAAAATACCAAAGAGATATTTCTCTGCATTTCTCAGAGCACTCGAGATTTCTCTATTTTCTTTTTCCATTGGAAAGAGCTATAAAAATCCCATGATAAATTAAAATTTCTAAAACGGACAAAAAATTCGAAAAACAAAAACATCTGAGCAACGGTTTAATGTAGCGTTTAAAAAACTCTATCGAATCACTATCATTAGCATTTGTTTGGAATTAACTGGCGGGTCAGAAAAGAAATTTAAAATCTAAAACAAAATTCATTTTCAAATTGTCATTTATTTAATTAAGGCAAATTAGTAGAGTTCTTTGTTATTATTAAGAAAACTGATTATTTATTGTTCAACACAAAGAAGAGAAAAAACAATGTAGTTGAGTTCACTGGAAAGAACCGAAAAGCAAATTTCTAAATTCGTACAAGTTACTATTTGTAAATCTTTCTTAGAGGTCAAAAAATTCTAGAAAAGTTACTGGGATCTTTAAAGAAAATGCAACATCATTATTAAATGTTCTTGATGGATTATTTTTCGTCCTTAGAAGAAATTTCAATTTATCATAGGATTTTTGTAGCTCTTTCCAATGGAAAAAGAAAATAGAGAAGTCTCGAGTGCTCTGAGAAACCTAGAGAAATATCTGTTTTGGCATTTTATGCAAACATTTGTATAGCGTACATTAAAACTTCTTTATAGGCTGTCGCAATTTTTATATATCATCAAAACAAACCTATTTGACGATTTCATGTCACAATTAAAGATATTTTTAATCGTCTTTAAAAATCCATATTAACTTTTTATGCATTCTACGATGATTTTGTTGAATTATTAAAAAACAATATTTATCGACTCATTTAAATTTATAATTAACAGGTCAGTACGAAATTAAATAGACAAAAAAATAAATTTTAAGCATGTTGATCTGCTAAAACACAACACAAAATCATTAGTTAATCGATTTGAAACATCAAATTCGAGTTAATCATGACAGAAATGTTAGTGACATTAGAAATGAGTGTTCGTCCTGTTCATGCATATCTCATAAAAGCAATGAGACTTACTATAAACTCTCACTCGCTCTCTACCCATATGAATAACGAAGACGTTTTCGTTTGTTATAAAACGTATTAAGAAAAGTTCTATTTCTTCATATATTCAAGTTTGATATTGACTCAAGTCTATTTTATCTATTTTATTTCAGATAGATTGCAAATTTCTGTGGTAAGGGGAAAACAGTTAGAAAAAAAATGATTATCCATTTTAATTTTCTTTGACAAAATTTTAAAATTGATTTATCCTGAGTATTGTCAACATTTTAACTATTGATAAAAATTTAGGTATTATCAATGTTTAGTTCATACAATTATTGGCAGAATATATTCTATACAGGGGAAATTGGGATATTGAGACAACTGAAGGTTACTTTTTTTTATTTTTCATTATAATAGTTCACTAGTCTTCAACTCTTTGTTTACTCTTTTATACGATTAAGCTGAATCTCAGTGCATTAGTGGTAGTTTTAGATTGAAAACGAATGAAACTATTTTAAATGAGTTTGCGTTTTATGGGCTTGATTTAAGTCGTAATTAAGGGCCTCCCCCCCCCCTCAGAAATGGTGATTTTCGGTCAAAAAATCGGTTTTGAGATATGCACATGGAAAGATAGCCTGAAGTGTCTACTTTCAGAATCTGTATCGCTTTTGGTTATAAAAGTGTTTTTTCGCGGATTTTGAGCAAGTTTTCTAGGAGCCTCGAAAATTACGTCTTCAAATAATAGTTTTTTCCTGGATACTTAGGCAATTAAAAATCTTCTGAATGCACATATTTGTAGAGCAAAATTTTCTGATCAAAATAGGACCTCGCACAACTCTGTATGATCTTGCATCAAAAAGTTACAGGCATTTTCCTACGAGTCTTAAAATTGAGTATGTTATACAGCGTTTTCTCTATATAAGAGTTACACCTGAAGTATTTCCCAACATTTTTTATAGCGACTTGTCGTAGAGAGTTTATTCGTTTCTTTATTTAAAAGAGAAAAAGAAACTAAATGGACTGACCGGCGCCGATTTTTGAATTAGGTCTTAGTTTTTTGTCAAATTGAGGATTTTTAGAAAACTTGAAAGGATTTTTCAGGTTTTAGAGATTGTTGGTTGCCTGGAAAACTAACAAAGACTTAATTAAGCAATGGGCGTCGGTCAATCCATGCAGTTAAGTGTCTAGTTTAAAATAAAACAAACCCGTACTCCTGTCCAGCTTGAAGTATATTAAAAAATCTTGCGAAAAACTTCAGGGCCTTGTCGGACCTTGATCTCTGGAAAACTCCTAAACCGTAAGACTTGGAGACAAAAACATTGTTTAATTCACGTAACGCACTAAACTTAACATTTATGGAAAGTTTCGTCAAGATCGGATGTACGGTGTCGGAGATAATTTCTGAGAGGGAGGCGGGCCTTAAGTACCGAGAGAGGGAAAAATAAACCGTGAGTTTCATTTTTGATGTATCTCTTTTGGTATTGATGCTAGAAAGTCAATTCAAACGCCATTCGAAAGAGCAGATAGCTTTGAACATTACTAATAATGTAAAACTTAAAAGAGTAATTGTGAGAAAAATGTGTCCCATTGTAGAAGTTGTCTCTTACATATTTCTCAAACGAAAGTTCATAGAAGTGTGGCATACGCCTCATTTTGAAAACATCTTTCTCTGCACGAATAAGTGTCTGAAAAAGTGTTTGGCTATTCAAGGAACGTCTAGACGATTTTTACATCTTCGATTATGAAAATGACATTTTCTCTAATCCTGAAAGGTAGGATCTATGTTTAAAAAATGCAGAATTGCAGAAGGAAAGGCCATAGAGAGAGAGCTAAGCGACGTCTTACTTAACTGTATATTGTGGTTTATTTTTCCCCATTTTAATAATATTTAATGATAGTTCAAACGTATCATGTAAACATACGATGATCTCTTTTTTTATTTCTAATTATCTCATAGAAAATTTTATCCAAATGTTTATTTCTATTTGATATTGTTCGATAAACATCGATTTTATACTAAATGAATATTCTATTTAATTTTTATCATTTTCAGATATGGAACCTCTTCTTAAAAAACAACGTATTACGAATATTAAATGCCAGCATATTTTAAGTAGTGATGATGATTCATGTCAATCTAATCATTGTGAAAATGATTCATCTCTATTATGTTCACATTGTAATCTTCAGTTGTGTTTTACACATCTTTCCAAACATAATCAACTTGTTCAACATGAATTTAAAATCTTAATAGATGAAGCAAATGAAATAAATTTAATAATTAATGAATTAGAACTTGTTGACAATCGTCAAGAATTATATGCTCAATTAGATCAATGGTTCGAAAGACAAAAAAAATTGTATGAAGAAAAACAAATAAAAATTAATGACGCCTATATTGAAATGTGTGAACAATTTGAACAACGAAAAAAACAATTTTCAAAACAAATATTAGATTATGTAACAGTGAAAAGAGAAGAAATTAAATCTAAAGAAGAATATCATACAATCTTAATGGGTGAGTTATTAAATAAAATTTACTAAATGTATTCTTATCAGTTAGAAATGAATATTTTATGTAGATGAATTAAAAAAAGATATTAAAAAATCAAAAATTAAATTTGATAAACAATTTGAACAATTAAAAGTGACATCATTAACGGCAAAAGTAACATTGACAATTCGAGATTTAACTCAAATTGATCAAATTACAATTAAAAAACCGGAAATTGAAATGAATTATGCCCAACAATTTCATGTTAATGATTTAGAACGTATTTTAAATACACCAGTACCCGATAAACAATTTCAAACAGAGAATTTGACAACAAAATTTCATCTTATGGGTGCATCAGAAGAATATTTATTGATTGCAACTGAAAAAAATGATAAATTGATTATGTTCAATCAAGAACAAAAAATTAATGAAGTCGAATGGAATTATGTTCAAGATGGATATATAAAAGGTATACATATCGAGTCGAAGTAGATTTGACTGGAGCTTTTTTGCAGACGAGTTGAACAAAAATCTTTTTTTTTGCAAGTTATTTATGAGCATAAGGACATGACTAATACAAAAATATCTCTGCTCAGGTCTTTTCCGTTATCGACATAGGAGACATTGTTTTCTAAAAATTGACTCTTATTTATTGCTCCGAAGGTAAGATTGGTGAAATTGATTACTTAGGCAGCTGTAACTTTATACTTAATTTCTCTGGTAGCTATAATTTTATAAAAACGTCTTCCACGAATGGAGAGAGCGCGCAAATTTTGGACTTTTTCCATTTTTAACAATGTGAGGCTTCCGATTTTTTCACGATTTCTACCAATGCAAACCAAGCTCGCACCTAGCAGCATGTCTCTATACTGTACTCAATCTACTTATGGTTATTTTACAAATAATGTCTCCTGTCTCGGTAACGGAAACGACCTGAGCAGAAATATTTTTGTAGTCATGTCCTTATGTTTATAAGTAACTTGCAAAAAAGATTTTTCTTCAACTCGTCTGCAAAAAAACTCCCGTCAAATCTGTTTTGATTCCATATGATACCAATGAATAATAGACAATAGTCTGATTTTATCGTTTTTCATTTCTCATGGTTTTATTTTTCTTCCTCGGTTTTAGGTCTTGAATGGTGTGATTATTTA